CGCCTGAGTCCAGGACGGAGCCCAATACACAGGCACCAGAGGAAGAGCTGGAAATAAAGGGGGCGGCTCCCGAAGGGGATGGTGGTGCTCGGAGGAATCAATGTGAACCCAGAACATCTGAGGTGCATTTTGTCAGAGGGATCTAAACAACCTTCCTCTAAGTAGAGGGCCGCCGCCCGAGCCTGTGCCCACACCCCCTTCCCTCTCCCTGCAGCCAAGGACACCCCTCCCAGCCCTTAGAAGGGCTGGCTGCACACGGGTGAGACCCCAGCCCCCATCCCAGGAGCTCGCCTCCCGCATCGGCTGCCCCTCCCGGCGGAGTCTCCCCTCGTGTGGAAACGCGTGGCCCCTCCGCTCCAGCAGCTGCCTCGGTTTCCTCCTCCTGGTCAGCGAGGCTCCAGGGATGGGCCTCCCTCCCGTTTCCTTCTTGTACTTTCCGACCGGCGGCCGCAGGGTCTGCTCCGCATGCCCTGGAGCTGCAGCCGCCACAGACTCCTCCCCTCACCCACGTCTGCCCTCGGCCCCCTCCCCACACCCGTGGCCCATCGTGCATCTGCCATCAGCGCCCGACCATCAACCCCTCTTTCCTCCTCTTATTCCCCCGGAACATCCCGGGCCCCACACGCCTGCTCGCTCTGTGCTCTCTCCTCGCGGCTTCCTTCGCGGGCGCTTCCTCGTTCCTCCCAGAGGGAAGTCGGGCCTGGGTGTGGGCCACCTGGCGTCTCTGGAAGCGATGGCATCTCGCACTCCTGTTTGGCGTGTGCCCTGGCTGCTGTCCCTCCCGCGTCGTCACCGCGTTAGGTCGTGAGTGACGGCTCTGTCTGCCGCTGCCCGGGCCAAACCCCGGGGTCACCCTCGGCGCCTCTTCTCTCACGTCCACAGCCAGCCTGCCAGCGGTCGCAGGCCGGCCTGCAACACCCCCAGACCTGCCACCGCGCACCTCCTTGCTCTGGTCCGTCTCTCCTGGGGGTTGCAGGGTCCTCCTAAGGGATCTTTTTTCCCCAATTGTTTTTTTTTATTGATTTCAGCGAGGAGAGGAGAGGAGAAGAGAGGAGAGGGAGAAAGAGAGAGAAACATCAGTGATGAGAGAGAATCCTTGATTGGCTGCCTCCTGCACGCCCCACACTGGGGATCCAGCTCACAACCCGGGCACATACCCTGACTGGGAATCGAACCGGGACCTCCTGGATCACAGGTCGACACTCACCACTGAGCCACGCTGTCTGGGCAGGATCCTTATTTCTTCTACTCCTGACCTCCCCGCAGGTTTCTTCTCCCACGTGTCAGCCAGAGAGAGCTGAGTGGTAAACCGAACGGTGTCACTGCCCGGCTCCGCCCTCGGTGGCCCCCTCACTCAGCGCAGAGCTGGCCTCCACAGGGCGGTGCCCCCCCACCCCCAGCCTCACTCCTAGACAGACAGGTTAGACACGAGGCAAGAGCTAGCCAGTGCGAGGTCCCAGCCTCCTCCCCCCTGCTGCCCCTTCCCTCCCCCGGACAGGTGCGGACGGGTGTCGAGGCGGCAGGTGCAGGGGTGCATGTTGCGGGTGGATGAGGGCCACCTGGGGTTTGGGAGGAGCTTTGTGGAGGGGACGTGATCATCTGGGGCCTTGGCCACTTACTCTGCTGCTTCCCTGCGACCCGCTGGGTGCCCTTGGCGGGGAGATGCACGTGGCTGCCGCCGGGAGGGGAGGGGTGACAGCACCGAAAGGCAGTGTCAGCTGCACGTTTGCGTTTTGATGTCTGAGAAGCTGAAATGGTGCCGCGGAGGGCGTGCGGGGGCGGTGCTGGTCGCGGATATAATGGCGCTGGCAGCGCCTCCTTCACAGAAGGACTGTTTTGGACCCTGTGCTCGTTTGGGTGGTTTTAAAATAGGTGTTTGCATTACGTAACCCGGGAAACGGAGGAGGAACAGTTGTTTTTAAGTTGGCTCCAGCCACAGTAAAGGTGTTTATGCTTCAGAGATCAGAGTTAGATGATAAGAATATTTGCAAGTCTTGCAATTTATTTTTTTAAAGATTTTTACAAACTGAATTTTAGAGAGAGAAGAAGGGAGAGGGAGAGAGAGAGAGAAACATGGATATGAGAGCGGAACATGGATGGGCTGCCTCCCGCACGCCCCCCACTGGGGGCCGAGGCTGCAACCTGGGCCTGTGCCCTGAACGGGAATCGAACCAGCAACCCTTTCCGTGTTCGGGACGATGCCCCACCCCCTGGGCCACTCCAGCCAGGGCCAGGCTTTTGCAGTTTCTTAAAAACTGTAATTATGTAAGTATTTCTTTTTTCCCAAGTGCCGCATGTCTTCTCTGCTCATTCTTTCTTATCATTTATTGGTGTTTTTTCCTAATAATAATCTCATCGCTAAAATGATACGCGTGAAGGTGCCTGAGGGCTGGAGGACTCCCCGGATAACAAAGGTTTAACCTTGCCCAGCTGGTGTGGCGCAGTGGTTAGTGTTGATCGCTGAACCAGGAGGTCCTGGGTTCGATTCCCAGTCAGGGCACAGGCCCGGGTTGTGAACTCCATCCCCAGTGTGGGGCGTGCAGGAGGCAGTCGATCCGTGGTTCTCGCTCATCATGGATGTTTCTATCTCTCTCTCCCTTCTCTGAAATCAATAAAAAAATATATTTTAAAAAAATTTGTTAAAAAAAAAAGCAAGTTGGAAGGTTCTGAGTGGAGACAGCTGGTTGGACTCAGACGCAGCGGAGCCCTCTCAGTGCCAGGCGAGGGACTCGGCCACAGGAGCTTCTCGACGCCCCGCAGCCGACGGGAGACCCCACTGCTGCTCCCGCCCGGTGCCCGGGGGAGGCTGCAGGCGGCGGGTGCGGACCGGCTGGGGGTGCAGAGCCCAGTGGACTGGAAGGTCCTGCCTGGCATCGGGGAGGGGACCACCTGCAGGGGTGGGACTGGCGACGGGCGCTGCCTTGCTTGTGCTTGACCTTTCCTTGGGGTCCTGAGTTCAAGGTGAACTAGGAAATCAAAACCAGAACCTGGGATTTTAAGGTGAAAATTAAGTTTTCGTTGCCTGCCCCTCCCTCCCTTCACGGGACTTGCCAGCGATGGTGGGAGTGAACTGGAGGGTTCGGAGTGGCTCCTGTCGTCACCTTGGGTGGTTTTAGTTCTTTTTTTTGTTCAAAAACTTACTGATGGTTTTAATCCCCCCCCCCCCCCCCCAAAACCGCCCCCCCCCCCCCCCGGCTTCTTAATGTCGCGCTGATGCTGAGGGGGAGGCTGTGTCTGAAGGGGCTGCGTGACCCCTGACCTGCTGACGCTAGTGCACGAGGACCGTGGTCCTTGGAGCTGGGGTGTCTGGCGGCTCCGACCCCTGTCATTCGCCGGAGAAGCCGGGAAGGACAGCGTCAGCCGCACAGTTTTGCACACTCATCCGCGTGCACAGGGCACGGCTTTTCGCTCCTGGCGTGCAGTCAGCTGGAGCCGTGCTCCCGAGTGAGTCTCTCCTGTTTCCTTCCAGGCGAGGAACTTCAAGTTGGAGCAGGAGCAGGAGAAAACCAAGATCCTGTCGGAGGCCCTGGAGGCGCTGGCCACGGAGCACCATGAGCTAGAGCAGTCGCTGGTGGCCGGCTCCCCGCCCAGTGTGCTCAGCGAGGACGAGTTCTACGATGCTCTGTCAGGTGGGTCGGAGTCTGCGGGTTGGACAGGCAGACGGTCGCTCCCTGCGTCACGTGCGTCGTCGGCAGGAGTCTGGCGTTGGGTCGGGGTCAGGGGAGTCACCGCTGGACTCCCGGCAGGGGCAGCGTGGCTCGGCTGGGGATGTAGGGCCCTGGAGCCCACACGAGTCCCGGATCCCTTAGTCAGTGACCATCAGTGCCTCCTGGTGCCAGGGCCACACGTGTTTACAGAGAGAGATGGCCGCCCTGTGCCCTCGAGGACACTCTGGTGCCAGAGCAGTGGTTCCCAGCCTTGTCTGGCCACGCCCCCCCAAGCACCTCTAACACCCTGATGCCCCCCTGCCCCTCCCCCCCCGTGACATATAACACTTATTATTCAAAAAGTGAGCTAGTCACGTGGAGGGAGCCTAAAAGGCCATGAACTTGGACTAAACAAGCTTCCGAGGAGCATGGCATCCACGAAAGAAAAAAATAAAACCACGCAAGGACAGTGGAAGTGCTGAGGAAGACATCACTAGAAATTGTTTACAATAATGATAATGTGAAGTGATATGAAAAATAGCAAATAAAGTTTCAAAACATAATATAGGACTGAAATGCGTAAATATGTCACAATCTATATGCTGTATGGGAGGCCCCTAGAGCCATAAGACATGCAAAAAGTTCACTGTTAATAACTCATTCTTGAATCACGCCCCTTAAAAGTCAAACTGCCCCCCTGTGGGGCATGTGCCCACGTGGGAACCACTTCCTGAGAGGAAAGTTACAGAGAAGCAACATAACAGGAAATACGTCACCTGCCAGAATGGGGGGGAGGCCCTGGTGTCACGGGAGCAAAGGTGCTTCACGCCGCCCGGAAACACGTGCCAAGTTCAGTCAGCATGTGGGGACCCTGAGGGGGACCCTGAGCAGGATCGGGGGACCTCGCGCCTGAGTGAGCATGCCTCCGTGCGAGCTCACAGTGTAGAATCATTTCTCCAACCCCTGGGCCCTCTTGATTATTTAAAAACGAGAGGCCTGTGCACGAAATTTGTGCACTGGTGGGGGGGTGTCCCTCAGCCCGGCCTGTGCCCTCTCATAGTCTGGGAGCCCTTGGGGGATGTCTGACTGCTGCTCTCTGTGGGGAGTGGGCCTACGCTGTCAGTCGGACATCCTTAGCACGGAGGTGGGAGGGCCCAGCTTCTGGCTGAGCGGCGCTCCCCCTGTGGGAGCACACTGACCCCCAGGGGGAAGCTCCTGTGTTGAGTGTCTGCCCCCTGGTGGTCAGTGCACATCATAGCGACCGGTTGTTCTGCCGTTCAGTTGATTTGCATATTAGCCTTTTATTATATAGGATTGTGTTTTCAGTGTGCTCAGTGACTAAGTCCCCCAGCGCAAACAGATTTCTCTCACAGGGTGGTGGCGTTTCACTGTGTAAGGGGAGGTGAATTAATGAAGCCTCACACTTGTCCTCTGTGTGTGTGTGTGTGTGTGTGTGCACGTACATATGTGTGTGTCTGTGCGTGCATGTGTGTATCTGTGTGTTTTCCTCTTTGCGATGTCCGGTCGGAACGGGCATGCGCAGTGCATATGACCCAAGAGCGCAGATGAGCAAAGCTCATCCAAGTGTGTCCTGAAGTTGAAGCCGGGTTAGCGTTTCTCAGCAGCTGCAAGAGTCTGTGCGTGTGTCTTTTTAAAAATGTACCCTTACTGTTGAGCGTATTACAGACGTCCCCTCCTTCCCCCCAAGGCCCCTCCCCACAGCTTGAGAACCGCTGCATTAGATTCTCATCCTCAAGAAATAAACCAAATTATGTTTGAGTCCGTCTTGCCCAGCCGGCTGGCTCAGTGGTTGAGCATCGCCCTAGGCCTTCACCACCCTTGCCTGTGACCGCGGGGTATGCACATGTGCATACACGGTCTCTGGTTGATTTCTCCCCCTTCCCTCTGAGATGCGTCCGTCTGTCCCACATAGGCCTCAGTTCTGCCTTATTCATCAGCTTACTTGTTCCTTAGATTCCACATGTGAGTGGGATCATGTGATACTTGTCTTTCTCTGACTGGCGTATGTCACTTAGCGTGATGCTCTCCAGGCCCCTCCATGCTGTCTCCGAGGGTAAGAGTCTTCTTTTTTACAGCTGCACAGTATTCCGTGGTGTGGATGGACCACAGCTTTTAACCACTCGTCTGCTGATGGGCACATGGGCTGTTTCCTGATCTTAGCTACTGTTAGTTGTGTTGCTATGAACATAGGGGTGCATACGTTCTTTCTGATTGGGGTTTCTGGTTTCTTAGGATATAGTCCTAGAAGTGGGGTCATTGGGTCAAATGGAAGCTCCGTTTTTATTTTTTGAGGAAACTGCACACTGCTGTCCACAGTGGCTGCCCCGCCTGCATTCCCACCAGCCGGGCCCCCTTTTCTCCGCATCCTCGCCGGCTCGAGTCTTTTTCAGGCAGAACTGTCTGTGTGGCAGGTGGGGCTGCCCAGGAACAGCTGTGGCCTGTGGGCAAAGGTGGCCCAGCGACAGCACCTGGGAGCACCGAGAGGAGCATTGCACCTTTGCCGACAGTTCCAGCAGCAGGTGGAGAAAGGGCCGTGGCAGTGGGAGGGACAGCACCG